AGGTAGTCACCAAGCCAAAACCTGTGCTCCACCTTGGAGAACGATCTTTGCTGGTAAGGTCAAAATCACCCTTGTGTTCCAATGGATCGTGGTGGTGAAGGACAAGGTCTGGAAATTCGAATGGGAGATGTAGTAAACCATCTTGTAGAAAAAGTGTAGGACAGTTGAGAAGCAAGTGTAGAGAGTGAAGAATGTAGATGGGCCACATCTACAAGAGATTCCATGGAGTCTGAAATTCTGGCCATAAAAAATGATTATCTAAGAAAAAGAGCTTCTCTAAGATCTCTAAGGGTTGATGTAGGAAGGCAAACTCCCTCTAGTAAGGCATTTCTCTCCAAAAGATCCCAGCAACAAAACAACTGGGATTCCACAGAGAGAGCAGAAGCAGATAACCTAACCAAAGTGGAGGTAATAAATGACTAAGATCCTCCAAAATTTGAGCAGGGAATCTATGATGGGCCTCAGAAAACAGTTGCAAAGACAATAAAAAATGAAAAACTGCTGTAAGTGACAGATGAATTCTGGAAAACTAAGATTGATTAAGATGAACAGTGGTATCTTGTCTAGTGCCCCAAATAGGAAGTAGAGGGTCTAACCTCTGAGAGTCCAAATAATGGTTCTCTAGGAAATGGAAAGCCAAGGTATACAGATCCAATAAATAAGGTGGAAAAGGCATGGCAACACCCGTCCTCAACTGATCTGCAAAACTCCTTGCATGTACAGCAATGTCTAGCGAAGGTGGAAGGACCAGGTAATCAGACAGACCAGTTTCTTCCAATAAAGGATGTGAAGATTCATAAACCCCAGGAAAAACACTCAATACATTACAAACATGGCGTACAAGTTGTAAAAAGGATGTAGCACAAGAATTTCAATCCGAGATCCGTGAGTAGCTTTCTGCGCAAAGGAAGGTGCTGGAAAATAGTGTCTAAATTCTCACTAGTCTGCCCTTGATCTCCCACAAACTCAACCTCAGAGCCAACAGGAGAAAAAGCATCAGACTGCATGCAAGACTTCTTTATCTCTCCACATATAAGGAACTGTATGTCCTCCATGGAAGATGCCCCCACACCCAGGTAATGTTAGACTCGGGACATCAGAGGACTTCATGTCTGAGACATAAAAGTGAGTATTCATATTCAAAAAAGATCTCCAAATTTTGTTTTTAATTGTAAAAAAAATTCAAGTGCCACAAAAAAAAATTTCAAATAATTCAAAAAAAAAGTTGCAAATGTAATAATACTAAAGAGAAACACATAACACCATCTTTGTAATTTTTGCCATTGATAAAAAGTAAATAAGAAAGAATAATTGGAAGCTTATATACGGATCAGGTATAGAGGGCACATTAATGTAGGTGGAGAGAGTCACAAGATTTAAATCGTTAGGGGCGATATAGTAGAGTATAAAGACTGGAACAAGTGAGGCTCAATTCATAACAATGTTTAGACAGGCAAAAAAGAGAATTATTCATCGGGATAAAGCTAAAGTGTAAGAAGAGGCAAGTGTGTTTCAGAAATAGCATTTCTTTATTCTGTTTGATAAGTTAAAACTGTTTAATGATGAACAAAGCAGCTTTTGTCTATATTAAATGCAAAGGTACTTAATTTGTTATGTAGCAAACAATTATTAGAGGCAACATAAAGGCACCAAACAGTACATTTGTTACAACAGAAATATCACTCATCACCAAAACATCATAAGCTTCTTGGTGTGTGTATTTTAGGTAAGGAAGAATTTTACCAATTTTGAACAAAGCAACCTTTGCCTTATATTAAATGCAAAGCTATGCTAAGCTAATCAATTAATTATGTTTCAACAAATTATTAAGGCAACATAAAAGCATCAGAGACCAAAATGTGACCAGAACATCAGTTTGTATACACAACTGTATGCATGTAGTTTTTTAAATTGTGTTAGGTTTGGTGCTTTCATCTTATTTGTTCATCAACTCTTTCTGTTTATTCAATTAAGGTACAATCTTAAAAATAAGCATCAACAAATTGCACAAGCAGAGTTATACGACTGACTGGTAAGAGTAAGATCAGTAGTGTAATACATAATAAGCCGGTTACATCCCTACTATCATTACGCATACATCTGTTTACTGTACATCACCGACTCAGTATGTGGCATAACTAAGTGGAAACAGAAGCAGAGCAACACATACGTATTATAGGTTGTTTCTTATATCATAATAATAAAAGTTATGACTAAAAAAAAAAAAAAACTGTACGTGAAACTTAGAAGAGGTATCTAGGCACCACAGGGTGTTGGTTTAGAGTAGGGTTGTTTTGTTCAATTAAGATGGATTCCTTGATTTTTCGTTGGCTTATGTTGGGTTCTTTGTTTAAAATGACTGTGTTTTTAATAGATATACCATGTTTTTTTGAATTGCAATGATGATTTTATTGTGTTCTGTTAATCTCGTTTACAATTTTCTTCCTGTTTCGCCGATGTAGAATTTTGGGCAGTTATTGCATGTTATTTTGTAAATGACGTTGGTATTGTGTGATTCTAAATAATTTTTGTTTAGTAACGATTTTAATTTAGGGAAGGGTTTTTGTGAGAATTTGATGTTGACAGGAATATTGTGTTTACTGGCTAGTTTAGTCCAAGTGTGGATAATTCTTGAGCTGGTCCTCAATCTCACTCTAGTATGCTAATTGTGACATTTTTTCTCTGATATCCTCTCTTCTCTAATTTACTTACCACCCATCTTAGAAGTATAGAATTTATGGTAAGTTACACATTATAATTTAGTTATTACTCAGGTAATGCAAAATTTTTATAGCTTTAATCATTTGCAGGGCCATAAACTAGAAAATCAGACTCCTCCTGCCATGCCCACCTGTCACATCCTCTTTTTCACAAATTGCCAAAGGGTCACTATGTTTAATACTATATTTTTATAGCCAACAGAATGCCAAAGTATTAATCTATCAAATGACATATCATATTACATTGTTTTCTGTACAGAGAATTGTGTATTTCACTTCCAGTTCAAACTTTATTTCCATAAGAAACACATTGACAAGATTAGCTGAATTTTTAAGATCTCTTAACATACAGTTAGAAAGCCAGAAAAATTATGATAGTTATAGGACATTCTCTGCTTTTTTACATGCTATTATTCTGTACATTATTTATTAAAATGTTTAGTTTAGTAGTACCATTAGCATAAAAAGTTGGGTTCATTGACAGTCAACAGAAAAGGAAGATCCATTAAGTATTATTTTTCTTGTTTTTCATGTGTATTCTTTATTTATTATTATAAAAGTAACTAAAATTTAAACATTAGAAACTTATTAGGTTAGATAAGATTAGATTAGATAAAATAAATATTAATAATAATAAATTTTCCCGAGGTATGCTTGAAAGTAGCTCGTGTGTTACATGAGTCGATAGGGTAATGTGAGCTTCACGTTCACCAAGTAATTTACAACTTGTGTGGCTAATTTAATAGTTAGACTTAATTCAAAGAGCAAGAATGAATTAAAATTTCAGTTGAAACAGATATATACTGTTACTAGCTTTAAGCTATTTAGGATAAAAAACTAGTTAAATTCATTCTAGAAAGATAAAAGAGGGTAATTTAAATTTATTTCATATTTTTTATTGTGGTCTGCCAAATTTACCAAGTCCATATGGAGCTAGGGTAGAGAAATAACAGAAAATATAAAGTACTTCTGAAAAAAAATGTTTGAAATTTATTTAAAAAGTTTTAGAAATTATGCAAATCAAATTGGACAATTTTGAGATGAAGAAAAATATTTTTAATCTTAACATGAAAATCACTTTGCACTCAGAGCAGCTAACACTTTGACTCTGTGTATTCATGAGAAATGTTTAATAAAAAGACTTCATTAAAGTGCTCACTGAAAGCTTGCAAATTTTCATAAAGCTACATATCAAAAAGCTATAGTACGGAAATTCTAAAGGTCAATTTGGGGTCAAAATTTAGGTTGAATCAACAGAAACCGTAGCAAGATAGTTAATGGTGTTTTAAATTGTGGATTATTAACAAAGCAACCCTGTACGTTATTCAAGATACTAACTTATTCTTGTGAATTATTCAGCAGACAAGCTGTTCCAAATGTTACAAAATGAATGTGAAGCCCAATCTGTCATTCAATTTACCACTTGTCACTGATTCATACTGGTTTTGTGAATTACAACCCTCATCAGTAGCCCTGTACTAGAGCAAGTGAACAGAATAAGACTGGCTTCATAAGATGGTGGTGTGTATATTATACATGTATGGTGTTTTGAAATGTCTTCTTCTCACACAGTAATCCTATAGTGTATATTATACATGTATGGTGTTTTGAAATGTCTTCTCACACAGTAATCCTATAGTGTATATTATACATGTATGGTGTTTTGAAATGTCTTCTCACACAGTAATCCTATAGTGTATATTATACATACAGTGTTTTGAAATGTCTTCTCACACAGTAATCCTATAGTGTATATTATACATACAGTGTTTTGAAATGTCTTCTCACACAGTAACCTATAGTGTATATTATATGTACAGTGTTTTGAAATGTCTTCTCACACAGTAACCTATAGTGTATATTATATGTACAGTGTTTTGAAATGTCTTCTTCTCACACAGTAATCCTGTAGTGTATATTATATGTACAGTGTTTTGAAATGTCTTCTTCTCACACAGTAATCCTGTAGTGTATATTATATGTACAGTGTGTTGAAATGTCTTCTTCTCACACAGTAATCCTATATTTATAAAAGAATTTTGAGAATAAACAGCATTGATGCTGCTAACTTATTCATGAGCTATAAAAGTCATTTAAAATACTAAAAAATACCAAGACTTCACTGTACTCCCACTAATAGCATAGCTTTTTAAGTTTCTAGCAGCAGCCATCAGCTAAGTCAACTAAAGTGTACTGGTGTTCATCACCAACAAGTAACATTTTCATCTCTGTACATTTACTAGTAACACTGATAGTTTTAACAAGAGAAAACATGCTTACCAAAGAAGTCAGTAACTACATCAGCAGAAATCAGGGAAGCAAGACACAAAAAAAGCAAAACATTAGCAAGATCACCAGACAAAACAATAATACAATAAAAAATATTTAACAGTAAGTTATAAATGAACAAATTCATCTATTAACACATAAAAACCCCCTTACTACTTATAAGATTTATAGAGCTAGTAAGTAGTCATTAGATTTGCAGAGGAAAACCCATGTGAGGTAAAATATTTTCCTGCAATTTCTACAAATGTAAGACTTTTAAACTTAGACTCCCTTTAAACACATGATTTAAACCTATTTCAATATCTGTTCTGAGTAATTGAGAAATGTAGTGTGAATGTTAGGCACTAAATGTTCACTTACCTGGTGTTTTGGTCTTATTAATGAAATTGGCACTTAAACATTTCTATTTAGAATTTGTTTTGTCATTTATTGACTCATAAAATGTAGTTTAACAGACAGAATTAATTCTTAAAAGTTCACCTTCATCACACTAAACAATAAATATAATGGGTTTTACTTATAAATTGATTCTTTAATAAAAAGAATATTTCTTTAATTATCTCTGAAATAAAGCATGTTTAACAGTTAAAACATTACTCAAAAGATTAAAAACATTTTAAAAATCTATAATAAACTTAAATCATCCAATGTGCTTCAATTACTTAAAGTGTACGATTTGTTTACCACAATTCACAAAAAAAAAGAGGGTGTTACATTGTTACAAGAACTGAACAATGCTTGCTAGAAAGAAGAAACATAAGAAAAAACTCCTCACCCTCCTCATGCTCCTCATCATTACTCACCCCAAATTCTAGAAAATAAACATAACATGTAAAACTGACGACAGACTTTCATGCAGGTTATAGTCTTTCAAACCTACCATTGAATTCATTTTAACACGACTAATTCATAAAAAATAAACAGACATTTACATATAAAATATAAAAAAAGGTTAAAGTTTTTAGAGAATTGTCATGCTACAATGAAATAGATAAAAAAAAACCATCAATACATATGGACATGCAAAAGCCATGCACCATGCCGAAAAAAAAATCAAAACAGTTGAACAATTCACCTAGCTTAATGCATTCTCAGCAAAAGTAGTTTAATTAAAAGTATGAAATGCAATGCAGCTTTCATAAATTGACTTTTAGAAATACGATATCATTAAACTCCTGCAGGACATTGAGCTGTAAACATAACAATAACAGAACAAATATACACAAAGCTTGGATTTAAAATTGTATGTCATTTACAAAATCTAGTTTTAAAGATCATAATACATAAAATAAAACAGTCATAAACAAATTGGTTTTAAAGATCATAATACATAAAATATATGTACCAAACATTGTTAACAAAATCATAATACATTCATTCCTATTGATCTTGAAAAGTTAAAAAATGGTACAATAGTAAACAGGGTTTAGTTTTAAAGATCATAAGTAATGTAGAAAGTTATAAATATGATGTATTTTAAAGAATAAATATAATACCTGGTTTTAATGAGACTATTGGTTATCACAAATGAAGTAGAAAAATCAATACAGGTAAAAGTTCATAAACATAGTAGAAAAGTGTAAACAGTGCCATGATTAAGAAGATCTCAGTACATTAAAATACCTATATAGAATGCATAATGCCTGATTTGAAGGGGACATACATGTCTTGGTTTTAAAGGTCATGAAAAAATGTAAAACAAGGACAAAATATGGCTTGAAAGATTGAAGAAAAATGTATCTCAGTATACTGAAATATCTATATAGAATGCACAATGCCTGATTTGAAGAGCCAGAAGCATCATCAACTTGCACAAGTTCAATTCTCTTCAAGTGTGAAAATACTGGAGAGATTTGATGTCATTTTGGGTCTATTTTCTTATAAAAAATGAACAATTTTCAACTGCAAATATTACTGATGTTTAAAACAGCAACAAATGTAATGTTGGATACAAATTGGCAGTTGAGATCATCAGCAGTGAAGATTAGGCTTTGTCAATTGATTTTGTGTGCTCGATTCACATTTCTAGCAGGAAATTCAAAACTCATTATGTCCCCATACAGCGATGGTCATGCCTAAAGGCTTAAAGATCATAAGGAAACTAAAATAAGGAAATATATATACTTCAATATAAAACACAAAAACATAAGCTTTGTTTTACAGGTCATAAAGAATGACAATACAGAATACACATTGTTACACTTGACATATTAATCAAAATAGTATTAAAATCTAATTTTTTCGTTTTACAGCCAATAACAATTATAAGTTATATGCATAAATAAATGGACTTTATAGATCAAATTAAAAAGGACAAACATGTCTTGGATTTACAGGTCATAAAAATGTAAAATAAGGACAAACATTGGCTTGAAAGATTGAATAAAAAGAGAACAAACATGTCTTGGTTTTAAAGTTTATAAAAATGTAAAACAAGGACAAACATTGGCTTGACAGATTGAATAAAAAGAGAACAAACATGTCTTGGTTTCAAAGGTATTATAAAATGTAAAATAAGGACAAACATTGGCTTGACAGACTGAATAAAAAGAGAACAAACACGTCTTGGTTTTAAAGTTTATAAAAATGTAAAATAAGGACAAACATTGGCTTGACAGATTGAATAAAAAGAGAACAAACATGTCTTGGTTTTAAAGGTTATAAAAAATGTAAAATAAGGACAAACATTGGCTTGCCAGAATGAATAAAAAGAGAACAAACATGTCTTGGTTTTAAAGGTATTAAAAATATAAAATAAGGACAAATATTGGGTTGACAAATTGAATAAAAAGAGAACAAACATGTCTTGGTTTTAAAGGTATTAAAAATGTAAAATAAGGACAAATATTGGGTTGACAAATTGAATAAAAAGAGAACAAACATGTCTTGGTTTTAAAGGTATTAAAAATGTAAAATAAGGACAACCATTGGCTTAACAGATTGAATAAAAAGAGACAAACATGTCTTGGTTTTAAAGGTTATAAAAATGTAAAATAAGGACAAACATTGGCTTGACAGATTGAATTAAAAGAGGACAAACATGTCTTGGTTTTAAAGGTATTAAAAAATGTAAAATAAGGACAAACATTGGCTTGACAGATTGAATTAAAAGAGGACAAACATGTCTTGGTTTTAAAGGTATTAAAAAATGTAAAATAAGGACAAACATTGGCTTGACAGATTGAATTAAAAGAGGACA